GCTCGCCTTCTTCAGTACCGGGCAGGGCTGCGGCGGCACGCGGCGCTGCCGGCCCTCACAGGGCACAGCTTGGAGCACCGTAACTGGGGCCTGTCAGGAAGGTTCACCCCTTACCTCTGCCCTGTACCGAAATACTCAGCGAGTCACAGCATTGGCATGGCAGCGTTACCATGTATTTTAAAAAGGGCCTAGCAAGCAATTCCCGTGTCCTCAGAGGACCAGGGCCTCCGCAGGCCGGGCGGTGCGCTCGCCCGCAGGCCTCCGTCGCTCCCGTCCCACTGATGGTGCAGGGACAACCTCCGCGCATACCCACAGCTCCCCGGGCTGGTTTCACTCTCTTCCCCTTACCTGTCAAAGAAGAGCTCTCCTAAATTTCTTACAAATTCAAGGGGGGTAAAAGGAAGCCTTTATTATTGCGTATTTCTTGTTCAGTGGTTACACAGCAAGAGGAAGTTAGTAGAATTTTCCACACTCTTGTGTTACGAGAAGTTAGCAACGTGCCTCTCCACGTTTCCCCCTCTCCCTTCCCTCCTTCCAAACGTCCCGTGCGATCATTTTCGCACGCGGGAGCCCTGTCAGGAGGTACGCGCCGAGCGGCAGAGGGCACAGGACCTCGCATTTGTCAGCTACACGTGCCATCAGACAGTAAGAGCTCAAGCTGGTGGAGAGGGATCAGTCCAGGGCACAAATACAGCCTTTCGCTCTGACAGCAGATGACTTTCTAACATACAAGACAGTATTCCGCATTGCGGCATAGAGACGTACAGCTCAATTCTGCTTTCATTTTTGTTGCAAGGAAAAAGATTGAGAAATATCTGCACATTAGAGAGGCAAAAGCTTTCTGTTGCAGAAGGTTTTTTAAATTTTGCATTAAGCGGAGGTGCACAAAGACAATGAGATCAGACAAAAACTGGATTTTACATACATAGTGTTCCAATGACTTTGTGACAAACAGTAAAATACCCATCTGAGCAACTAGATGGTGTCATACCAATGTTCAAAAACACACTGTAGTGCTGGAGATACTTATGAAGGGAGAGGACAAAACATGACCTAGCTGGAGGGAGGGTAAAGACAGATCTTCCTCCTTTCTAGACAAAAGGAGTCAGGATCCTTCAACTGGGGAATATTTGCTTTTGTGTTTTTTTATTAAAAGATACCAGCTAGTCCTGGGATGTGCAGCACCCCAGGGGAACAGAGTACAGTTACACAAAAAGGTGGCTACACCTGTGCCAACAAGGCCAGCCCTAACAGGAAGGCGCTCAGGCACATTGCCAATTCCCTGAAAGAAATCACAGCCCATCACGTGGGGAACGTGCCAAGTGACAGTGAACCCCAGAAAAGGAACCTCCACTTCCAGATCGACATGGAAGTGAACATCAGTCACCATCAGGCCACACAATGCTATCCAGCTTGGCTTTGGCCTTGACGATGAACTCCTCCGAGGCGTCAACAAGCGGAAGCCGCGGAGGTCCCATGGGAATGCCAGAAACAAAAGTCATTACAGCTTTAGTCTGTGCAACACCAAAACCTGGGTAGACAAAAGGAGAATCAGGTCATTTACAGCTCATTTTGCTTAAAGCAGTCTCTATACAGGCGTCCATAAAAGCAGCAGCATAGAGTTCCTGTGTAATCCAGCATAAACCAGTCTTGAAGCACTTCTCAGAAGTGAGAATAGTGTAATAAAGAAGAGAGAATCATACTTGCAGACAAGAAAGACATTACAGTAAAAATTATGCCTACTTATTTATTTATGTATTATACCATCATTGTTTCCCTCCTAAAGATACCAAGCAGAGTATCTTCTTAGACATGCACCTTACAAACTACTACGTCAGTTTTACAGATAACCAGGGCTGTGTGTGTGCGCGCGTGTGTGTGTGTTCCTTTCTCCTTGCCAAAAATGTATTGCCACGCAGCCCTGACAATAGAAAAGATGGTGTGAGTCCTCTATAGGTAAACCGAGCAAAAATAGGGCTACTTCAAGTTTCCCTTCACCGGTAGGCTGACCTATCCCAGCCAATTTGTCATCCCAGCAACCCGATCTTTGCAGCCTCATAGCTATCCCCTGATGGCAGACTCACGTAAAATAATGCCCTGGGAGTAGTAGTACCAGTTTAATCCACCATGGGAAACTTCAGGAGGCCTCTGTGTCCATAGCTCAAGTCTCCTTATGTACCTCTGGAAATTCAGTGTTTCTCTCTTACTTATAAGACTAAATAATCATGCATTTCCTCTGACTTTTAAGCCAAGAAATACAACCAAGTGCTAAAGCTCAGCTAGATTCATTGGGGTTTGCATATGTATAGCAAAACCACAGTGAACAGTTTTCTTCCTTAAGTGAAAACCATGAAATGTCTGATTCAGTCCCCCTACACTACTCTGACTTGGTTGGTTTTAATTGCTTTTTATGTTAAAACTTGATTTTGTTTCTAAAAATCATTCCATTTTAAAATGCTTTGGCCTTGTACAGCCTTGAACAGTTACTCTTAAACTATAGCAAGGCAGGAGACACAAGCATCAAAGCTGTTTTCTTACTGAAGCACCGCCATTTCAGAAAAATTACTCTCTAGAAACAAAGCTAGAAATGAGCTTTTGGAGACAGAATTTAAAAAAACAAAACAAAAAACAAAAAAAAACCCAACCCACAGGAAGAGTCAGGATAAGAAAAAGAGTAAATCAGAGTCACAGCTTTAAAGCTGTGAGATTTCACAGAAGGAGGAAGGAAGCAAGCAAGAGTGGAATCTGTCAGGGATGCTTGGTCAGCTCCCTTTGCTGAGCTCCTAGCTGCTACTAACTCGGGAAATAGCACACGCAACATTTTCTCACTGCAAAATCTTTCAGGAAGGAAGTTCTGAGGGTACAGCAACATGAGAGTTTCTGGAGCACCAAGCCTGCATTTTTAGATATAACAAGGGAAACGGGCAGCGTAGGACTTACCTAGTTTGATGACAAAGCTGAGAAATTCCCCAGTGAGAAACTAGAAAAGACAGACAGGAGTTTATTAACTCCTTCAAATGTTAAGATGTAAAAGCATCTAGAGCTATTATGGTATTTACATCTAATACAATTGTTGCACAACCTTGAGAAAAGCCCTTGGCCACCTGGCCAGTCTATGGGAAATACTAATTGAATTCCATTGGAATAGAGGAGGGAGGGATGGATATAAGAAAACCATCACTCCCTCTTAGTCTGTCACTCGGTGTTCAAGCTGTCCCTCACTGCAAGCAGTCTGAGAACACTGATAAGTCTCATACTGGTCCTAAAGGTTTACAAATCTGAATATCCACTGCCAAGTGAAGAGATTTCCCAGAGCAGATCATCCTTCACACGTCTTTTAAACTTTCATCCTGCAGTCACTTCTATTTTAAGGCAAAAGAAGGATGCCTCAAATGTCCCATAAAAACATTGGGTATAGATTGTCTACCGATTGCTCAGAACTCCTCACAAATCTTCAAGCTGCTCAAGATCAAGAGGGGTCAAGGCAGAGCTGCTTTGGGATGCCTTTCTGCCCTACATCATGTAGGGTATCACCAGAATAATATTCCCGGCCAAGGGGCTTGGCCATTGTGGGCTTGTTCAAGGAAAAAGGTCAGGCCGTTGCTCACTCTGCATGTAGGAAATTAGACGGTTGAAGGATAAGTAAGGCAGGTCTTGGTTAAAAGTTAGTAAGGACTGGTCAAAAAGGCGAGGAGAGATGAAGAACAAGCAGGGCTGTTGGAGCCGAAAGAAGTTTGCTTTAATAAAGCTACCTTAGGGTATGGATGACAAAACCGCATGGAAAACAGCCCCAGTAAAGCTAGAGGAGAAAGAAGGCTGCTCCTAGTGGGGACAGTAAAGATACTGTACCTGATACTTCCGTGCTAACGCAAGGTCTGGCTTTGCAAAGGCTTGCAACATCAGATTGGTTTGTCGGCCCAAATAGTTGTATGTACTGCCAAAAAAAACCCAAACCAAAAATAGAATCAGTAAATGCGAAGGAGGCACTTAGAACCACTGAAACAAAAGATGTAGCCACAGGCTTTCTCTGTTGACATTATAAGAATGCCTTTATTATGATAGAGATTCATGCAATCTATGTGCGGTTTATACTGTCAAGCATCTGAAGTATGCCAAGCCCTACGGAAGAGTTTAGAGAGCAGATTTCTCTTCCCAGTTCTTTCCAAATGGAACTGCTTTTCAAAATTAAAAAGGAACAATTAGACACAATACAGAAAGTCAATCACTTAATTTTCCAGTTGCTTGTTCATTTAATGGATTATCTACTCAAGAACAGAGATATCACACAGTAATTCATCCAAGCACTCTGGTATGAGGGGCAGAAGACAAATCAGAAATAAAACTTAGCAGGGCCCTTTTCCTCACAGACTTCTCATGTGAACTAAGGTAAATGATTTTAACCTCTTTGGGTTTTGGTTCCTTACCCATAGAATGATGATAAAAGGGACTCCCTACTTCAAAAAGTTGCTGTGAGGATAAAGAAATATGTTGAAACCTTTGGGTCAGCTTACAGACTGCAACTGCAGCAATAATCACCCAAACTAACGTACTCTAAAATCCCAGATTATACGACTGTCCCATTGCTAGCACTGGAGCTCGCTTGTCTGTCTGCTTGCTACTGTACAGCCTTACCCTGCAAAATCCTCCATCGCTGTGACAGGAGACAGTTAAATACTGTGTGGACAGTGGAAGACATAACAATAAGGTGCGTGTGTCAAGGGGAAGGAGTCCAAACCATACTGACCTTCCAACTGCTCCATCTGCCCCTATTGCCAGCGCACTCAACAGTTGCTAGTTCGGGGTGGGGGGAGAAAAAAAAAAATTACTTCACGTATCAAAAAAAAGAAAAAAAAAAAAAAGGGCATTGGGAAGCAGCAGCAAAACTACCTGGCACTGAATGTCCAGGGCTACTTTTTTCCCCAAGGCTGAAGCAAGAGGATGCCACAGAGGAAATAATTTTTAAGAAGAGCCTCTTACCTCATCCACCCCATAAAGAAATGCAAACTGTTCTCTCTCATTCTTGTTTATACACTGTGCAAGGTCCAAGAGGTCTGTGTCGCTGAACTTCACGCCCTGGAAGGTGGGGATCCGCTCTTTTATTCCATCCAGCAGCCCTTCAACACGAACTGTGCAGAACAGCAATCTCATATGAAGAAACACACCCCTGTTCTGGGAGATCTCCCTGTCTTGTCCCCAAGAGGGAGACTTACTATTTTACAAGTTGTTCACTTTTGGCCTAAGCCTAGTAAACTATATAGCTCTAAAACAACCAGTAAGACAACTTCAGTGTTGTTATTTCCCAGAGTTATACATGACAGCTTTCCACCCTCTCTTTGAAGCATTCCTTTTACCAGATCAGAAGGGAAAAACCCTGGATAAGTGAAGGTTTAGGAATGAACTGGCAACAACATATTTAAGAATAAATATAAGTTCATACATCCAGAAACACCAGATAACCTGCTGTCTAGAGCAAGTAGCCAAAGATCTGTATTCTATTCCTCATTCCTCTGCTAAATAATAAGACTTGAGAAGCACTGTGGTTTCACACGTAATTTACTAGCAAACATGACTATGCAGTCAGTGTACACCAAGAGAGACAGTGGTAACTATCTTGCAAAAAAATTGGGATTCAACTATGGTTATCCAAGGCAATTACCTATCCTGGTCCACACTAATTGCAAAGCCATGGTCAGCATCACCTCCTCCATCCCAGTTGTTCAGTACTCAAACTGTGACTTTTTTCTGATGAAGAGGAATTCAATTTATTTTCCAGTCTTGCATTCACCTCCCATTTTTGGAAAGGAACCTTTCCACTACAGCTTGCATGTGATGGGAGCAGAGGCCACATACCTGGTTTAGGCTGGTAGACTAATCACACCAGCCACTGGGATTACTCAGGTTACTATGAGCCTATGGGCTTAGGAAGAGCTGACTAAGCAGTACTTACTCTTCACACCTGTCAGAAGAGGAATGTGATAGTAATAAAACGGAACCGCAGGGGCTTCAGATGCAACCTTCTGTAAGAAAGCAATCAGCTCATCTGAAAGAAAACAAGCAAGTACCCCCATAAGAGAAGGAAACTATCTGTAGTGAAAGACAGTTCAGATTCACAGCAGCCAGGGTATGTGGAGAGGCAACCTACAGCTTGCGGACCATACACAGTGAGTCATAAAAACCTTAAATGTAACAAAACTCAGTGGAAGACCTTAGGAAAGGCAAAGACAATATTTGTTTTAAACCAAACCGATTTCAATAACTCACACTCATTCCCTTACAGATGAAACTCATGTATGCTCTCACATGCAAACTGGAAGACCTGGGTGCCAAAGCGGTCTCAGCAGGATCACTTGTGTGCAACACAGAGGACAAGGGATCAAGTTCATATTCACCTCCCTGGGGTACTGCTCAATGGTGGTGATGAAGAGGTTTTTGGACAACTTTTTTGTACTGTTTTAGGAATCAAAGAGGTATTATGGTTGACATTCTTCCTGAGAATCTTGTTCACTGCATCCTTCATAAATCTTAGGCAAACTTCCCATTGGCATAGCAGGAAGAGCAGCTGGCTGAAACCTCACTGCCATCCTGCTACTATCAGCGAAGGTCTTCTGCTGATCTTTGTGCTGTTCCTCTGGGCTTACCAGTTTGATTGCCACTGATTGTGTCCTTGGCTGTCAATAACAGCAATCCCCTCTGGTTTCTTCTGGTATTTTCATGTGAACGTTGACATTCATAATTCATTCAGACAAATTTTAACATACCTGTTACAAAACCTCCACTTCATGTGGTTCTTCTAGGTTATGTTCATGATATTAAAAGCAGAACACTCAATTTATAAGTTCTGAGGTAACTTTAGGTGCACAGAACCAAACCCGACCACGTCAGTAACAAGAGGCATGCGTGTGTATCAGCAGTTTATCAACTTGGTCAGTGTCCAGCAAGGGTCAGCATGGAACCAGCTGCTTCCTAGCGTGGCCCAGATCAAGCGTAAACTCCATACTATCTATTCAGAAGACAGACTAGTTAACTACACTTTCCATAAGCAACTCTTCTTTTTACAAGAGGCTAACAAAATACATCCCAAAAGACATCCTTCCCACTTCTTACTGGGAGACTTCTGATATCTCCCATCTTTAAAAAATGTTTCTTCTAGGTTTTGCTTTTGCATGACACCAGACATGACAGGCGTGCGAATATTATCACCAGAATACTTTTGAAAGAAAGAAGATGGCATTAATCCTTTATCCATGATAAAGGTTTGGAGGGCAGTATAAAAGGGGCTCAGCAGGTCTGGTAATCACATCTACTCACCTTTATTTGTGGGTTTGAAGAAGAAAGGGGCTATTACAGCAATACCACTAGCACCTATGGCTGCTGCATGTTGTGCCTATAAAAAAAAAGAATGGAAAGTATCTCAAGGTACATCTGCTTTATATGTATTACACACATAGCAAAAAGGAAACATATATACACACCAGTTCTTGGGACTCTGGCAAACTTAGTGCTCCCACATGAATGATCACGTGATCCAATCTGCACAAGAACAAATTCAGAAGGTTTGGGGAGGCTTCAGTGGTGGTGAAAAATATCAGTCTGCCAAAATAAATCGCTTCAGACCAAGGAGCCACTGCACAAGACCTTCATTGGGCTAGATTAGACCTAACAGGGATTTGAACCTGTGTTGACCTGATGAGCAGACACACAGGGAAAATGCCGACAGTGGCAAGCAGCTGGCGGTAGAAAAAAGAAAACACGTTTGCAAATATGAATGATGTGTGACTCCTTGCTGTCGTATTTGCAAGGCTGTAAGGGGGGACTAATCTTCGCATTTTATTAGGAAGGTAAAATTAAGCCATTAAGGATTTAAGAGGAAGCTGGGAAAAGGAAAGGATATCAAAGCATACGTTTGCTTTCTAAACTTGTTTCTCTGCAGAACTACCAGAAGAGTTCAACCTCACAGCAGCACCTTTGACCGCTTGTCTGCTCCTGCCAAGGGAATCTCCCAGGTTCCAGTCCATTGGTCCCATTTCTGTGTTTCTCCTTTATATCCACAGACTGTGAGCCTCACACCAGTTTACTTCTGCTCACTATCCTTCTCACCCAAAACACCTCCTCCTCCCCACATCTTCTGACGTAGCAACTAAGAAGGCAGCAGTGGTGAATGCTACAAGAGTACAACAGGTACAAGAGATGGAGAATGGAGCTGCAATTGGATACACAGGTGAAGATTCGGATTGAATTGCTTCTTCTACCACAGACTTTGCACCTTTAGGGAAGCACCAAAACACTTTACACCTCAGCTTCCCCCATACCAAATCATTGAATACATTAAAAGGTTCAGAAATGTTCACAGGGCATAAACAGGCAGATTACTCTTTACTTTCATCTCTTCTCAAGAATAAGAAAAGGGTACAGCCCTTTTTTTCCCCAGAGCCCTTTTGTGTCCCCCTACCCCTCAGTATACCAAAGCGAAGGACACTTACAAGCTCTCTAAGCAGTATGAATGGACACCAGCTAATGGGCAGTGACAAAAACGCAGACTTCTATGATAAAGGAGAACAAAATGTTTGCGAACAAAGCCCAACAACAAAATACTCCAAAAAACCCAAAGCCATCAGCAGATGTGGCTTTGCAATCAGTCAGGCACGCCTGTATCATAACACGAGATCTGGAATCCCCTGTTCACTCTCAGCTACTCACTTGTCTTTTCCTTGGCACACCCATTCTTCGGCCAACTGCTTCCTCTCCTGGATGTTAAGGGACAGTCCTTCTCCTGTTGTGCCATTCACTGTTTCAACACAACACACTTGCTGAGGCCTGGCCTACATGCATTGGCTTTACTGAAGACAAGAACTGACACTTTTAATGATATTAAACAGAAATATTTTCACCTCAACTCGTTTCAAGATAGTTGGTCCACACCAGTATCTGCATGGGGATTGCAGTGTTATCACCACTAAATGCTCGTGTCGGAAACCTGGGTGTTTCAGGATCAGCAGCAGTAGGAGGGAGGAGACAGCTGCTGAAACTGGGAAACTGCCCCCCAGCACCTCCTCCCCAGCAGACACCACCTCCTTCCCCCAGCAACACGAGTCAGGCTATGACAAGCACACAAAGGGACGCCCAGCTAGCCAGGCAGAGTGACTGTCTGTCCTCCACTCCAAGGAAACCGTCTGACCTGACATTTGGTGTCTTTGTCATGAGTTGAACCGCGTGTGCTACCTAGGCTAAAGCACTCCTAGAAAACAACGAGATGTCAGTATGTTCACTCACAAACAGATTAAAATGTGGCAGCTGAAGTCACTGCCACGGTCTGCTCTGCATCTTGGCATTCTTGACTGAAGTTTTGAACCAAAATCTTATCACTGACTTCAGCTTACTTAACTATGCCAGGCTGTGAGCAAAAGTGTTTTAGCAGATGCTGTATTCTCTATCCAGCCATCCCTGCTGCCCCCACAGCAGTCCCTGAGAGAGAGGTGGGAGCAGTGACCACCTTGGTATCACCCAGTGCACCACAGGTTTCCTAAACAAGCCCATTTGGCTTTGATGAGCCCACTGAATTCCCCTGACTCCTGAGCTGATGTTTTTTCATCAGACAATTGGCAAAGGGGAGAATCATTCAGTTGAATCTTCTCTGCCAAGACAGCATTATCCATTCATCTCTGGAAATGTCACTGTATGAAGGCAATGCTTATTTTATCCCACACAGAAATGGGGTGTAGGCAAAAGCAGATGCCTTAACTATTGCTTACGTTCTCTCCACTGATGAATATAAATGTCTAGGATGATCCCACATCCACAGTCCCTCCCACTACAGCTCTTATCAGGCAAGGTATCATCGGATTGCCATCCAGGCAAAAGGGGTGTAACACAGTTTCTGTCAAAAACACACTTACCAAAGACGTTCTTCACGTTCTGCTCGGTCACCAGATAATCCACATATTGACGAATCACCGAAAGGTTAATCTGTCTGAAATGAAAGGAAGTGCAGCAACCTTAGGAGCCTCAGCAACCATAAGTCTCCACCCACAGATATCTTAAACTTAGAGATTAAGAAAACAAAGACAGGCATGTATTTTTGAAGCCTCGCATTTGTACACACACAAACTACCCCAAGGTATGATACCCTCAGCATGTGTTTAACACTTCAGGTAACAGTTCAGTTCTGAATTCTTTCTTCCAGTTTCTCTTCCTCCTGACAAGTAGTTCACTGTTCCAACCTTTTATCTCAATTGGTAATTACTGCAGGCTCATCACAGCAAAGGACTTTTTTGGGGAGATATGGGAAAACAAGAGGCACTCAAACCTTTTTGACTGTTGAGGGAAACAGGAGTCCTCTTGAGAGCACAAAGATATTTGTGCAACTGCTGGCAAAGAGTTAAACTATACTTGTAACTGCTGGACACAGACCGGCATCTGCTGGATGTGACTTTGACCTCTCTCTCTCTCATTAAAGGATGAGGAAAGCAACAGACTTCCCTGGCAAACAGGGGAAGTTGAATTCTAGGTTTATCTTCTCTGCAGGACAAACTTATTTTGTTTATCAGTGTGTAATATTTCACCGTTGTTTTCATTTGTCAAACATACAGACCAACCCTATAGTCTGGAAGTCAATTCTGGGACCTTGACTGGGTTCACACATCACCCAAAATTTCATAGCTGCTTTCACAGAACGTATCTTACAAGGGCCAGGCACGCCAGGCAGCAGGCCCAGATCACTCTCCAAATACCATGTTGCAATAAATCTGAGTAGTAATAAAAATGAAATTGGAAATAAGTTTCTGTTAAAGCAAGAAACGAAGCAGTGACTGCAATGCAATTGAGTTCCCTGACTGAGACAGTACCACGCTTTACAGCACTTTTCAAAAGTAAAGGATCACTTTTAGAGGCCTGTAGTAGCAAATCTCCACAGTCTCCCTCAGAAACACATACAGATCTTGACACAATCCCCATCAGAGAAGCTCAGGGTCTTTTGCTGACTCCAAACAACTCTGTCTTGCAACATCAAAATGCAGTAGGGACGACATCTGTTTACCATCACTGCTTTGAGGAAGGCCAAATTTCAACTTTCAACTTGATGTTATTTTCAGAACTGTGCAGTCCTTGCAATATTCTCTTCTGGTTTAGACTAATTCCATGCACACATATATACACACGAATGCTTGCATGAGTTAAGTAGGGTAAAGTGTAAAAGGACATCAGATTTTGACAATTATTCTCTAGCTCTCAAGAGCTCTTTTTAACTAGGACTGTGATTTTGCCTTAACAAATGTGGAAATACTGCAATACTCTACACGTATAACCTTACTATGATTTAATTCGCACCTACAAAAGCCATAGAAAAAGAGATGTAAGGCTGATCCAAACTCTCCAAACCCAGACCTACAGCACTTGCTGGGCAACAGGAAGATGCAGAGGCTAAGGGAACCCACTCTAGTGCTAGTGGGACCAACCTAGTAGTTTCCCCAGCCCATCAGAGATCTCATTTAAAAACAAAACTCAAACCAATCAGTTCCAAATAAGAAAGAAGGGAGACAGGGGTTTAAGGTAACAGTAAGCAGTGCAACTCCAACAACACGCCGTGTTGTGATACAGGGTCATACTCACCCATCAGGAGTCATTGGAGTGATTGTAGCAGCTACAAGACCCTGTAACTTCTTTCCAGGTGTCATTGAGCTGTTTGGAAAGGAAAGAGATAAACATGATTCCCATCTTTACTCAAGTGCAGTTTCAACTAACTTCTGTGAACAGCAAAACTAGACAGGCAAAGTTCAGAAGAAGTGGACTTTGCAAGGGTGTTATTTTTGGTTAGAGAGAATCATCTTGTTGTTGTTGTCGTTGAAAGAGCAGCTTACAGCAGCTAGCCACCATCCCAGGTACAGCTACATTTCAGAGACATCTTCTATTTTACCCTCCCTTTCCCACGAACAGGTTATGCTCTCGCACACACCTGGTAACGCCTGGCAGCTTGGAAGGGAGAACAGTTTTGCAGAGAACCGGGCTCAAAACCCTTCCCCCGAGAAAGGCAACCTCACCCTGAACACACCACCCCCCCCCCGCAGA